GAATAAACAGACCAGAAAGTTTGGGAGACTCTCCCAAGGTCACACAGCAAATCCACAAGGGTCTCACCCAGCCCAGGAAGTGGAGAGGGATTAGAAGGGTGACTGTCTTTGGGCGGGAGAAAACAGCTTAGTGCTGGGGCTGGTGGAGTCCCTCCCGTACCAGGGGGAGAGGGTTCTGGGCCCACCTGGGGGAGGTGTGCAATTGAAGAGTGTCAGGCCCAGATTGAAGGGAGCCTGGGAGAGCACTAAGTGGAACCTCCCTGCTCCCATTGTACTGAGGGGAAGACTGAGGTCTGAGGCTGAGGGCTTCTCCCCAGAGCTCCTTAACCTGTGAGGAACAGAGGGAGTGCCCTTCCAGGAGGCCGTCTTGGTTGGGCCAGGCTGGTCCTGGCAGGGCTGCCCTTCTGGGGCCTCCCTTCAGATAAGCCCGGCTGCCTTATCTGAAAGACAGGTGGGGCCCACACTGGCATGGGGCCTTTAGCTGCCAGGCACCGTGCCTGGTGCTTAAGTTTAGATATATTCTTTATCTCAGTGCGGCCTCACACCCCTAGGAACTGCGCACACAATTACTGCTACCACCTTAGGAACGTGGGCAGAGAATGGATTGGAAAACCCACATTCCAGCCTCTCAGGTTGATAATGACCGTAGAATGTGTTGATCTAAGTCCCTTACGTATATTACCTTTTTTTAAAAAATTTTTTTTAAGATTTTTTATTTGTTAGAGCGCATAAGCAGGGGGAGGGGCAGAGGCAGAGGGAGAAACCGGTTCCCTGCTGAGCAAGGAGCCTGATGTGGGACTCGGTCCCAGGACCCCGGGATCATGACCTGAGCCGAAGGCAGACGCTTAATGACTGAGCCACCCAGGCGCCCCTGTATATTACTTTAATCTCAGAACTACCCCCTGAGATAGGCACATTTTGAAGATGAGGACCCTAAGGCACAGAGAGGTTCAGCAACTTGCCCCAGGTCACGCAGCCGGTGAGTTGGCAGGGCCAGAGCCTGAACCCAGGGAGTTAGTAGGACAGCCTTCCATCAAAACTGATGCCAGTATCACAGTTAGTCAGATCATGACATCCGTCTGCTGTCAAAGAGCAGCTAAGATGTACTGGTTTCCCGGGGCTGCCAAAACAAAACTACCATAAACTGGGAGGCTTCAGGTGGTAGAAAGTTATTGTCTCACAGTCCTGGAGGCTAGAAGTTCGCAAGATGTTGGCATAGTCGGTTTCTTCTGGGGGCTCTGAAGGAGAATCTGTTCCACGCCTCTCTCCTAGCCTCAGTCTTTGCTGTTCCGGCTGCTCACAGGTCACCTTCCCAGTGAGATCTTTCTTGGCCTCTGACCTGAAATTGCAAATGACCCCACTGCTTGTCTCTTCTCAGCTGCATTTTCCCCATAGCAGTGACCCCGTGGCTCACTTGCATTCACCAATGCATTGGGCTTTTATCTGGGTCCCCTCAGGAGAGAGGGAACAATGGGAGAGCCGGGCTATTTGTCTGTTTGGCTCACAAGGCAGTACGTGTCCAATGGATACTTGTTGAATGAATGATCCCAGAGAGGGGCATCCGAGCTGCAAGGCGACTGTCCTGGACAGAGGGGCCTGGGCCAGGCCCTGGAGACAGGTGGCCTTCTTCTGCCCTCCACCCTTGGCTACCTACTGCTGTCCCCCTCTCTCTGAAAAGTGGGGTTTACTCTTTTTTTTTTTTTTTAAAGATTTTTATTTATTTATTTGTTGAGAGAGAGAGAGAGAGAGAGAACACAAGCAGGGGGGAGTGGGAGAGGGAGAAGCAGGCTCCTCACTGAGCAAGGAGCCCGATGTGGGACTCGATCCCAGGACCCCGGGATCATGACCTGAGCCGAAGGCAGACGCTTAATGACTGAGCCACCCAGGCGTCCCAAGTGGGGTTTACTCTTGCACCGTGGACCACAGGACAAGTCCTCTGGCCCCTTCTTCCGGCTGGAGGACGGGTCCACAGCCGGAGGGAAAGGAGGCCGCTCAAGCTAGCCGAGGGGTCGGCGTATGTGGGGCCGCCCTGTCCTGGTGGGGTCTCCCTGGGGCCCTAGGCTGGGGTGCGCCATTCAGATTCTTGGGGCTGGGGGAGAGTGGACGGGAAAAACCAGTCTGTCTGGTTCTGAGGGAAGAGCGGACCTTGAAACCGAGGCAGCTCCCAGGGCACAGGGCTAGGTTGGCAAAGCCAGGAGGAACCCCAGAAATTCCCGCTCCTTATCTGGCGGCTTCATCTCTCAGAGGCTGCACTTGGCTGATCTGGAGACCGGGGCTGGGCTGGAGGGCAGGGCAGAGCCAGGAGACAGCTCAGGTGTCCTCTCGTCTTTCACACATCACTAAGTAACTCTCACTAGTCTGGGTTCCAGAGAAGGCCAGATCTGGGTTCCGATCCTGCCCTGCCCCTTACCCCCTGGCTGACCTTGGGCGGCTACAGACACATTTTCCTCTGAGCTTCTGTTTGGAAAATGGGGAAAATACATAGTACCAACCGATGAGGGGGTCATGGGGAAACCGTGAACCCACTGTGAACCCCATGGCTTACCTGAGGCCTGGCACAGAGCTGGAGGGCGTTCAGTGGTTGTTGCGGCCAAATCTAGGAGTAATCATACCGATGATTGGTAGGTGCACTTTAAGGTGAACCCGAATTGGTCTTCTCTTGATTTTCAGTTCAGTGCCTTTTCTAATTTCCCTTTCTGGTGGTTGGAACAGGCAGCACGTTGGCCTGGAGGCTCATAAGGACTCTGACTGAAGTGGAAAGATGACTGTCCCTGGCGAGTCCAGTTCTCACCTGGGAGGGGCCTGCAAAGTGCTGAGTTGGGGGGGTGGTTCTCCTTCAGAGCAATGGCCTCACCCAGCTCTGGGGGCTCTTGGCCCCCTTGATATGTCTGTCTCGGGCAGGGTGTCCTGAGGATGAGTGGTAAAAGGTGGGGGTGCTGGGCTGAGACACCCCAGCTCTGGGTCTTCACGGGCTCTGCCCCTGGCTTGTGTGCCTGCAGGCAGGGCCCTGCCACCTGTCCCGCCTTCCTCGCCTGCAGAGTGAGCCGCACAGGCCGCTGCCAGGCCGTCTCTGGTGGGTGGCGGGGAGTGCAGAGGGGAAGCCCTGAGACCGGCGGGGTGCCGTGTGGGTGGCATCCCTGCTGGAGAGAAGGAGTGGATGCATTTCTCACCGCCCCCGCCCCCCCATGGGCTGAGACCTTTCCCTGGGTGGAGGGGGGCAAGGCCAGCAGTGCGTTCAACAATTTCACACCTGCTTCCCGTGCAGGGCAGGTTTCTGACCTCCATTTCACAGATAAGGAAACTGAAACTCATTAGCTTTGCGCACATATGTATTGAGCAGGTACTATGTGCTAGGCACCGCTGGGCCCTGGAGATACAGCAGTGACCAAGCTCGGATTCCTCCCGGGACCTGTGTTCTGGCGGGGAGACTGGAATTGCCCCAGGGGAGCTGCGCAGAGAGGGAAAGTTCCTTGCCCAGGGCAGGATTGAAGCCCAGCTGTTGGCTCCCAGGCCTGGGGCTCCACCTCGCACTTCACAGTGGGAAAAAAGCCGACCACACCCTTCCCCGGCCTCTTGTGCAGGAGGGGCGGGAGGAGGAGAAAGGAACATTTTCCTAGGGATTTCTGGACTCTTGGCCCACTCGGCTAAGGTCATTCCTGTCCTGACTGCGCACATGTAGGGGGATGGGTACGGAAACATCCCTTTGATCCTTGGCAGGGGCACTGGGACGGGAATGTGCAGCAGGTGCTCAGTGCTGGCCGTGCTCCAGGGTGAGCACCAGCTCTCCAGGGGCTGGTATAGGAGCTTTCGGCCAGGGGACTTTTTGTCTCCAGAACAGGCAGCCAGAGATGGATCTGGCTCCTGAGCCTCTTCTCTGTGAGCCATCTGATGGTTGGCTCATTTTCTGGCTGTGGCAGGGTCCCCCTGTAGGCTTGCTGCCACAATGCCTGGATGCCGTCCAAGGAAGAAGAGGGACAGTTGTCTTTGTGCATCTTCATCATCAGCAAAGGAGCCTTTCTCCAAAGCCCCCTGCTAGACCCTCCCTGCCTCAGCAGCCAGCGCTGAATCATGCCTAGCTCCAGAGATTCCAAAGCATGCCCTTATGGAGAAGGGAGGATGCTCCAGCCTCGGGGATCTTGGGCAGCAAGGAAGGGGGTGAAAGCCGTGGAGGAGGCCAGGATGGCTCCGTGGGAGGTGTACTGGCCGCCCGGATGCAGCTGTGGATGAGACAGTCACTTTCCTGCCCTCAGGGAACTCAAATCAGGGGAAGGAAACAGAATCCTGGTCCTGGGTGTGGGTGCCTGGCGGGGGGGGTGTCAGGCGGGCACAAAAGAAGGTTCTAGAACCCAGACTGGAGGAGCAGGGAAGCATGCAACATTTCAGCTAAGACCCAAAAGGAGGAGTTACCAGGCAAGGGCTTGGTATACAGTGGTATGCACTAGGAGCCAAATAAATTTTTTTTTATTTTTATTTTTTTTATTTTTATTTTTATTTTTAAAGATTTTATTTATTTATTTGAGAGAGAGCGAATGAGAGACAGAGAGCATGAGAGGGAGGAGAGTCAGAGGGAGAAGCAGGCTCCCTGCTGAGCAGGGAGCCCGATGCGGGACTCGATCCCGGGACTCCAGGATCATGACCTGAGCCGAAGGCAGTCGCTTAACCAACTGAGCCACCCAGGCGCCCCATAAATTTTTTTTTTTTAAAGATTTTATTTATTTGACAGAGAGAGACACAGCGAGAGCAGGAACACAAGCAGGGGGAGTGGGAGAGGGAGAAGCAGGCTTCCTGCGGAGCAGGGAGCCCGATGTGGGACTCGATCCCAGGACCCTGGGATCATGGCCCGAGCCGAAGGCAGACGCTCAACGACTGAGCCACCCAGGCGCCCGCCAAATAAATATTTCTTGACTAAAGGAGAAATGTGTCCTGCAGAGGGAGCCCCGTGGCCTCCAGCCAGAGTGGTGGGGGCTCTGGGGGACCCTGGCCCTGTCTTATCCCTCCAGGTGCTGGGGCTGCTGGTGTGGGCCCTGATTGCCGACACCCCGTACCACCTGTACCCGGCCTACGGCTGGGTCATGTTCGTGGCTGTCTTCCTCTGGCTGGTGACAATCGTCTTCTTCATACTCTACCTGTTTCAGCTGCACATGAAAATGTACATGGTGCCCTGGCCGCTGGTGGTGAGTCCCAGTGGGAGCATGGTGTTGGAGGGGGGGTGTTGCTTCCAGGCTGACCCCTCTGCCTCTGGGAGCAGCTGTGACAGAGCCACCTTCCCTACATGAGAAGGGGCTGGTGGGGGTTGGCCCTCAGCCAGCTGCAGAGCTGAGTGGGGGAGGGAGGATCAATGGCCACAAATTAGGGAGGACATAGGCTTGGCTTTCTTCAGGGAAGGGAGTAGAAGTGAGGGGCTCTCTCTCTTTTTTTTTTCTTTCTTAGATTTTATTTATTTATTTGAGAGAGAGAGAGCACAAGCAGGGTGAGCAGCAGGCAGAGGGAGAAGCAGGCTCCCCGCTGAGCAGGCAGCCCGATGCTGGACTCGATCCCACGACCTGAGCCAAAGGCAGATGCTTAACCACTGAGCCACCCAGGTGCCCCATGACGGGCTCTTGAATGGAGAACCCACTGCATTTGGAATCTTGAAAGTGTTTTTCTGGTTTGGGGGGGCAGTTGGGATTTGAACCTGTGTTGCAGGGGGTCTGTCAGACTCTGGCAGCCCTGGGCCTGGAGGCTGGGCTGAGCTATCAGGAATTACCCAGGATGAGGCCCCGACAGCCCAGGAGAGGGTGGCCTCCCCGCTTTGTTCAGGTCAGTCTCCTCGGGACACAGAGCTGAGAGTGGCCATAGGAAGTACCCCGGCCAGATACAGAAAGCTTGCTGGGCTTTTCTCTCTGACCCGGAAAACTCCTGCAGCTGGGGTCTGAGGCTTTTCAGTGAGCAGCGAGGCAAGAGAGGCGCATGATTGTAAGCCAAGCAAGGCTGGGACTAGGCGGCATTGTTTGGAATTCAATGACTGTTTAAACTGAGGAAACGTGAGTCATCCTCAAGACAGAACGGGTTTGTTAGATCTTGACATCACTGGCAGGAGCCAGGCAGTGTTTGTGGTGGGCGCTGGGCTTGGAGGGAAGATCCTGGGATGAGGAGGGGACGGCCGGACTTCCTGGCTAGGGTCCAGCCCCGGCCCCATGTCCTAGGAGCTTTGAAGAAAGAAATCTCCCAAGATGGCAGGGGCCTCGGTGTCTCTGAGCACAGATCTGGGGCTCCGGCCACCAGCTGTTGTTGGAAGGAGGCTCCTTTCCTGGGCCAGGATAGCAGGGCAGTGTCTCTTAGACTCCTGGCCTATTAGCAGATAAGGCTTGACTGCATCTAGAGACGACTGGATTGGGTTTGTCAAATTGGCATTTTCTGGGATGGGGGCTACAAGCCCCCTATGGGGCCTGGGCAAGGTGAGTGAGTGAAATAGGTCAAGAAGAGGTTTTGGAGAACCTGTACCCGTCTCTCCATAGGGAACCACCTCTCCCTGGCTCCTACCCTCAGTGGGAGTGCAGGCCCCTTGGTGCCAAATCTTACTATTTTAAGATGGAAAGTTTTATATGAGATCGTCAGCTTTTCATATGAAATCTCATTTTAGAATGTTGGTAATTTTTTTTTTTTTTAATCTATAGGTTGAACCAAATGTTCCTGAGGGCCACCAGTTTGCAGTCTCTGCTAAGGCTGTTTACTGGCTCCAGGGGCCCAGCACTGGGGAAATGGGACTCGGGCCTGAATGTCAGCTGAGGGTCCTTTCTGCCAGAGTGGCCCAGAATTCTGCTGGGTCCTCACCCTGGCATTTGATATGGTGGCCTTGAGCCTAGGATGTGGCCCAAAGGCAGACCCAGATTCCTCCCCCTGGAGGCAGAGAGGGATGGGAGGTCTTCCCAGGGCCAGCCTCAGGACCAAGACATGCAGCACCAAGAGGGGCCAAGCTTGCGTGGAAGAGTATGGCCCTGGAATTCTTTAGCTGGTGCTCTCAGAGATGGCCTTGGCTCGCTCTCCTGCCATTGGGAATGGGGTTTTGCCTTGTGGGGCTGTCACTGCCCCCTGACCAGATCACTTCAGGCCTTCTCATCATTTCCCCTCCCCTCTAAGCCCTACATGTGTTTACGCTCCCCGCTCAGATGGCCTCCGGGTTGACCCCATGTGGACTGCCGTCCCGAGGAGCATAGTATCTGCCCACATCCTTGAGCCCCAGCCCCTGTTCTGGATACTAAAGGGGTGTGCCGGGGCGGGGGGAGCCGAGGGGTTCCACACTTACTGGAAGAGTCTGCCGTCTTAAGCCTCTTCTCTCCCCTTACCCCTCAGTTAATGATATTCAATGTGGGCGCCACTGTTCTCTACATCACGGCCTTCATCACCTGCTCTGCTGCCGTCGAGCTGACGTCACTGAAGGGCACCCGGCCCTATAACCAGCGTGCGGCGGCCTCTGTGAGTATGGTTCCTGGGGGCGCCCTTGGCAGTGATGGGGGCGGGGAATGGGTCAAACAAGTCTGTGCCCCTGGACTTTCACCACTCTCCGAGGCCAGCACCTGCCACCCCCAAGGGACCTCCTTCTCGGGGGTTTCAGGGACACTGAGCTTTGTCTTCCATAATTAGCAGTAAACCTCAAGGAACTGGAATGCTTGGGAAATACTTTTGATGGTAAATAGAGGTTTTGGGTTCATTGTTGAACTTTGCTGGGAAGCAGGTGCTCCATACTGACTTAGAGTCCTGTGCCCCCTTGGAGAATCCATTAAAAACTGCCCACCCTTCTTGAAAAGGGCGCATGCAAACCTTTTGGTTGAAATCATTTGGGGGGATTTACAGCTCTCAGGAAGCCCAGACTTGGGCTCCATCCACATCAGGCAGCCAGGGGCAGACCAGTGACCGTGTCCACACCTGTCACGCCTCAGTCCATGGGCCCTGCACAGACACTTTCTCACAGGACCCCCTGACGCCCACAGTGAGGGGACAGGAGCTACCAGTCCTGTCCCATCTGGACAGACAAGGAAACTAAGGCTCAGCGAAGTGAACAGACAGAGGCACATTCCAGGGTAGGGCAGGAACGAGACCAGGGCATGGGTTTCCTCAGTTTCAGAATGTGGCTGCAGGGCACCTTTGAACTGATTCCAGAAAATTCCTGGGTACCTTTTGAATGTTGTCTTTTTAAAACTAAGTCCCTGATGTGTGCCTCAAGGAGTTCCTACCCCTCGGTCATTCTCAGCACATTGTCCAGTTGCCCGTGTCACAGTCTGACCTACCTTGCCTGCGTGGTTAGTCATGGTTTCCCCCACAAGAACGTAACGTCGGCACCCCCACAAATACGTAGGAAATGTGTGGCTAATTGGAGTTGGCGTGGCTACCAGAGTGGCTTGTTCTAGTTAACTGGGGGGCGCTACTCCGGCTGTGCTGTGTGCCCATCTGAGGCTGTCTGGGGCTCGTATCTGTCCCCCCTGGGCTTCCCCCCCCCCCCCCCCCCCGGCCCCACTGCACACCGACTCAGCTCTGGTGTCTTCTTTCTCTTCCAGTTCTTTTCGTGTTTAGTGATGATTGCCTACGGAGCGAGCGCTTTCTTCAGCTTCCAGGCCTGGCGGGGAGTGGGCAGCAATGCAGCCACCAGTCAGATGGCTGGGGGCTACGCCTAGACCACCCATGCCATGGCCCACCTTGGGGCTGAAGGCTGTAGCCGGCTCCCAGTGTGGGGCGGCCCGTGAGCCCGAGGCCTGAGCCCTCCGTGGAGTTGGCCTGGAAGGGACTACACTTGCTCTGCTCGTCAGACTCGGGCTCACCCAGCACTCCTGAGGAATCAGGATCCATCCTCTGGTTTGGCCCAAGTCAGCAAGCACAGGGGCTGGAAGGAGGCCGGTGGCCGAGACCGTCTGCCCATCGTCTGTATTTAGTGGAAGGTGACAGGGGATATGAGGCTGTCAGTGTCTCTGCTTTGTCTTTTTACTTCAGTGTCCCAGGCTGGGGCCCAGGCTTCTCACCAACACTAAGTACACTAACAAGGACTCCAGACCTGCAGCCCCTGACCCTCCATAGAATAAGCCTAACAAGCTACGTGTATTTATCTTAGTCTTTGTTCTGGGACTGCAGAGCAAGTTTTCGAAACTGGTCTGATTCCTTAAAACACAATTTGTTTTTTCTTAAGTAGGCTCCATGCCCTGCGTGGAGCCCAGTGCAGGGCTTGAACTCACGACTGAGACCTGAGCTGAGATCAAGAGTTGGCCACTTAACCGGCTGAGCCACCCACGTGCCCCCCACCACCGCCACCTTAAAACACAATTCTGACTTGACCCTTCCCCAAACCAGAGGCTGCTTCAAGGGAGACCTTTATGGAAAGAGGGTTATGGTATCTGACAGCATGGTCTTCCTTTCCTGCATTCCAAACGTACGAGTGATTTCACACAATCGGTTGGAAGCAACTTCTCAGTGATGAAATAGCCAGCCAGCCTTCATCCCTCTCCCCAGCCCTTGTTTGTAATACTCCCCTGGGGAAAAGCTAACCATGCTGACTGCTTCCCTGACCCTGCTGATGAGGCACAGGGGCCATGGAGGAGGGAGAGGGAACCGGGACCTTGCCTGGTGAGTTGTCCTGTGCTTGGTGGTGACTTTGTTTTTGAGGTTTTTTTTTACAAAAATAAAAATGGAAGAACTTATTTGGAAAAGGTGTTGGGTAATCCTGGTTGTAGATGCTTATAAATTCTGGGAAGGTGCAGGTAAGGATGGCAGTGACAGGGGTTCCAGATGCCTGTGGAGGGCAAGTCCCGTTCTGGAGGTGCTCAGCAGCACCCGTGATGTCCTTGACCCAAGGCGGCCTGACCCACTTCCTGCCTGCCCTGCCGGGTACAGCCCTGCCTTATGCCGTGTGTCCCGACAGGTTTAACGGCCCCTTTTACTCTCCCAAGGGTCTCAGCTGAACACTAAATCATGACTCTAGCTTTAGGCTCATTAGGTCATCTTGCTGGACTCAAGATTGCCCTCCTGTCAGCTCCCTGGAAGGTTTTGTGCAGTTCAGGGAGCATGTCATCAAAGCCGACGGCCACGCTTGATCCAGGAAGCTGCCGCAGACCCCAGCGAGGGGCAATCCTTCTGACTGAGCTCGTGCTTTTGCTGCCACCAAGTAACATGCTTTGAATCATCAGCTGAAGGCATTCTTGGGCACCCCTGGGTCCTTTTCTGGGTTCTGCAGTTTCTGTGACTTGTGACCAGCGGTAGTCAGGAAGCAGATGATCCTCCTGAGAAGGCTGACAGCAAGGTCGCTCTGCTCCCAGCTCCTGCGCCCTTCCCTTCCCTTCCCTTCCCCTCTCCTCCTGTAGGTGCCGTGTCAGCTCCCGTCATCAGAAGAGTACAGGACAATAGATCTTGAGAGACCACGCTCACATAACTTTCGTTAACAGTATATTGTTAGAATGGTTTTATCTTACTATGCCTTTTGAAATTGAATTTTTTTTTAAGATTTTATTTATTTGACAGAGAGAGACACAGCAAGAGGGAACATAAGCAGGGGGAGGGAGAGGGAGAAGCAGGCTTCCCACCGACCAGGGAGCCCGATGCGGGGCTCCTGAGCCGAAGGCAGACACTTACGAATGAGCCACCCAGGTGCCCCTGAAATCGAACTTTTATCATGGGGGGGATGTAGAGGGAAAAACACAGTAGAGAGTTTGGTGCTCTCTGTGATCTCAGGTATGGGGGGGTGGGGTCTTGGGACAGCCCTGTGGACAGCGGTGTGTGGCTGCTGTAAAGTTGCACGGATGTGGCAACTCCAGCTGGAAGGGGGGGGGACTTGGGGGTGTGGCCAGACACCCACATCCCAGTCAGCCCCGGACAGGCCCAGTTCCTGCCTGTTGGAAACACAAACAGCAGCCCTTTTTACTCTCAAGTGTCTCAGAATTTGATCAGTTTCTAGTTGTTCCAGAATTCAACCAGAGAAGAGTTCAGTCTTAAGGATCAACCCATTTTCTTTTGAGGCTAAAGAGGAAACCAAATCGTTAAGGAAGTGTTCAGGGTTTCTGACCTGCTACAACAGCCTACTCCCTTGCAGATGTCAGTGCTCAGACTCCTCCCTTTTGGTTTAGCCCTTGCCCCACCCCCATCCTTCGACCCCGCAGTTCAGGTGAATATTGCTTTCCACGGGTGAGGAGGCCGGAGGCGGCAGCAGTACAACAGTGCAGCTGTCTCTGAGGCCGGTCGCCCTGAGGCCCTCAGAGGTGACACACGAGAACAGAAGTTCCTGTGTGGACAGACAGGCTTCTAGTTGGTGGGTGTTTTTTTTTTTTCTTTAAGATTTTATTTCAGAGCGAACGCAAGCATGAGCACGGGGAGAGGGAGAAGCAGACTCCCTGCTGAGCAGGGAGCCCGATGCAGGCGCAATCCTGGGACCCTGGGATCATGACCTGAGCCGAAAGCAGATGCTTAACCAACTGAGCCACCCATGCGCCCCACTAGTTTGTTTTACAAGAAATCAGAAAGCCTATCTGCTAATATTTAGCTACAACAGGCTTCCTGCTTTTTTCCCCCTCTGAGTGGAAAAAAACCGTTTGCCTCTGTTTTCATTTTTCGTAAGTGATTCTTTGGACTTGTCGACATCCATGGCTTTTTCCCCCCACCAAGCAGACCAACAGGTCTTCATCAAGTACTTCGAACACGCTGGGCCTACCGTGCGCAGGCCTCTATCAAAAGGGCAAGAAGGGAAAGCAAGGCCAACAGAGGCAGCATTTGAAAAAGCTGGGAAGTCTTCGGCTTGAAAGGGGTGAAAGACCAGAGTAGCAGTGACCCAATGGCAGCAGTGACAGTAAAGAAGGGAAGACCCTGTGAAGAATCACAGTTCTTGCAACGCACCTCCAGGTTTACTCATGGTACAAAAAAGTATTTAATAAGCGCCACACAACAGTACAGAAAAAGTCTATATAGCTCATACTTTAAAACCAGAACAGGTGATTGAAATCAGTATAGAGTCTCATTTTTACTTAAAAACAATATAGAGGGTACACACTGGGAATTGAAATACCATGTTCTTTCTTTCTAGAGATGTGACATCTGTGTTTTCTGGTCAGTAATTTCTATGAAATATTGTGCTAAATCAAAGCATACAGGTGACCAGAGCTGTCTGCTCTCTCCTAACTCATGCTGAACTAGCTTAGTGGAACACCATCTTGGTAGGGAGATTTTGACAGGAGGAAGGAACTACAGGGACCCTGCCCCAACAGAAAACCTAACAAATTGATTTATACAGAAAGGGTTTTAGCAAACCTATACAAACACTTAACATGCTGCAGGAAAGGAAGACCTTTGAGCCTACTTCCAGCATAAGCACACACTTGTTGGCACCCAGTAAACCGGGAAGGCCAACGTAGAAAGCATTTTTGCTTTCATAGCACTAACAGCTAAAAAGCACACAGCATATAATACTTTGATCTTTAAGTGGGTAATCGTGGAAGCTCCAAGATTATATCCACTAGGTTAGCCTGAGTATTTTTCTATAAAAATATTTTTCTAAAAATGCTTAAGAGAATTCTAGAAACAGACCACATCAGGACCAGCAGAAGGCAATGATGCAAGGACTGCAAAATAAGACAAGGAAATGATTTTCACGTGTAGCTTCAGGCAAGGGACATCTCTCAGTTGATTCTAACTAGCTGGAATGGGATGAGCTGCAGAAAGCTCAGCTGGGCAGGCAGCTGGCTTGACTGACAGCCTAGAGACACATTACCCCACAGGCAAAAAGCCCACTGAGGCTGCAAGTCTGAGAGACTGAATACAGAGGGCTGTGTGAGCACACAAAAAGCCTGGAGGACATGCAGAGCCTGCAGGGCTGGAGATGGCGGGTTCTTCCAAATGCTGCTGACCTACCAACACGTATGCTGGGGAAGGGGCAATGCTGGCCTTGGGCTTGCTCTGGCGGAGCCTGACGAAGAGGCCTGAGCGGGGTCTGCTTGGGGGAGGAGTGCTAGGATTACTGAACATGAGAAGGTGCTTCAGGGTCTCAGGAGGGTCAGACGATTGTCTTCTAACCCATCAATACTTAACATTAATAAGGAGTTGCAGAATGGTCTTTCCAACATGTATTCTGTCACACCGCCAGAGCCTCTTCCAGTCTACTGGCTGGCAACGTCCAGAAAGATCGCATTGCCTGGTGGTGGGACCTAGGGCCGCAGGTCATTCTGGGAAGCTGGCACAGAAGATGATTTGCACAATGAAGTCACCACTAATCCACTGCTTAAGTCCAGTCCCCGGCCTTCTTTTTCCTGCATGAGAAAAAAAACAATCCTAAGAGGCAAGGAATAGGAGGGGAAAAAAAAGTCCTTTCTAGCTCAGAACCGTGCCTTGGCATGGGGAAGGAGGTGCTGGGCTGGGAGGATGGGCCACAGGGGAGCAGACTGGAGCTGGAAGGAAGTTATTTTGCATTCTTGTTCAGCACTGGCCCCATCATTCTTTAAAAAGTGTTCCCTCTCTTCACTGAAATATATTTTTTCCTGTTAAGAGCCTGCATTATAAGAGAGGCAAGGGAACGAGACCTGCTTTTCGGTTTTGTCCTTTTGATTATTTAGGGTCTAGTAAGAGGTACCTGGGACCTGTTGTGACAAAACGTTAAGCATGCAGTCCCTCAATAAGGGTACTGGGTCCCTGATGGAGGAAAGCAGCTATGCTCCTGACACCTTGCTAGCTGCCAGACTGACACTGGCCAATCGTGGGGAGAAACCTGGCAGCCGGTCTGCGCTTGACAGGTCTACTTGGAATTTGCTCAGTGGTGCGATGTGGCTGACAA